CGTTTGGGGAAAGTTTGTGCGTTTCAGGATAAACTGCTTATCCTGAAACGCAGCCCGCGGGGTTCAACCTGCGACCTGTGTTTATTATAAAAACCCAAACGCTGTTCCGGATAAGTTGGCGAAACGCACGAAACAAACGGTACGACCGCCCGCACTTATAAGCTGCCCCAAACGGGCCCTAAGATGGTCAATAGAAATGCTTAGAATCATTACACATCCAAATCATAAAAAAGAGCCACAAAGTATCAAATTAATGTTCGCAAGAACCAAAAATTAAATAGCAGTAAGAAGAAACCTTTAGAAAATGCAAATCTATCAAACGAAAAAAAAAGGGGGGGCATTTACATACATATACCACACAATTCATATGTATTTATGGATTTAACACCGAAACATTCATATTTACATCCATACCACTCAAATCTTCAACATCACAGAAAATGCCACCATTATCGTCTTTTTAAGACCTTTTCATGCGCATAGTTTTATGACACCAAGTGAGTGTAAATATCAAACTTTAGGTGTTAGATATGTCAATACATAAAAATGTGTGCTATATATGTAAATTTCCCCAAAAAATTTAAAAAAAAACATCCAACAAAAGTGATCAACCATAAGAAGAAAATGAAACACAAAAATCAGCAGCAAATCTTCATAAAAGTTCCACAAAGAAGACCACAGAGAGCATGAAAATAAGGAAAAAAAAATTAGATCAGGATCCGGAGACCAATAGTGGGGCGCCACATATCAATCACAGTATATTGTGGTGGATCCACTTGACATGTGAAGCCCCACCATTGGACTCTGGAGTCAAATTATGTCGGGAGAACGGATGTAATATTTGCTTGCTCTGAAAATAGAGACCCAATAACTAAAAAAGAAGAAAAGCATAAGACAGTAGCAAAGTGTTTGATTTTCAAAAACAAAATTTTTTGCATAGTAATAGTGAAGTTTAGGATAAGATTGTTTTGTTCCATCTAATGAGTATGTAGTAGAATCATGAGTACCAAAATAGCAAAATATACAATTTATACATAAACTTTTGGCAACCTTGAGAAAACAAAAGAAGATCTACATACATACCACACAATTCTTCTGTATTTGCATATCTAACACATAAATTTTGATATTTACATTACAACACTTTGGTGTCATAAACATATGCATGGAAATACATGTTTTAGATTTTAAAAGTGGTATTTTTTATGTGATATTAAAGATTTGACTGTTATGTATGTAAATATGAAAGTGTAAAGTGTCAGATATATAAATACATAAGAATTGTGTGGTATATATGGGCCTCCAAAGACTAAGGATTGAAATTGCTAAATATAAATAAATTATCATTATATATAAATGATTACTGATGAAAACAATCGTTCAAGAAAGCGGTTCTAAGAGCACTAATTCACTAGAAAATAAGCAAATCTTCAAAAAAAAACAGAGGCAGCAGATTCAGTTGATCAACGAATGAAAATCAAAACATAAAAAAATGTTACCCGTGAGAAAATAACAGCACACACACCATATACTTTGGTTCTCTATGGTTACTTATTAAGCTCTAGTTTAAAAAGGAGAGAAAAAAAGCAGAAAATTTTGATACCATACAAATCTAGCACCAGACTAATCTTGCAAAAAATGAAGAACAGGAATTTTATTTACAATCTGTGCAGTTTTTTATAGCCTATCTTCAATAAATATTGTTCTTTTATGCCTCTTATTCAATCAAAATAAGCACAGGACAAGAAAATTTCTTGTCTGTGGCTTTTCAGCTCATTTCTTCTCTTTTACTGAGGTTTATGATGGTCGCCATTGTTGTGCTGGTGGTGAAGATGGTGGTCGCCGATGATCATGAAGGTCATCGGGACTTCAGCTCTATACAAAGGAGCATCGACTCTATTCCAGATGGGAATCAGGGTTCGACCAAAATTTATATAAAAGTTAGAGTCAACCTGAAAGCTCACCTCCTTCATGCATATATTATAAGTATTTTGTGTATTTTTATATAATTATGCATAAAAAATTTTCTTATGTGTTTTTTGCATTCAAAAATAAGATTGCGACTGTAAAATACAGAGTTACAATTTTGAACAACTTTGTGACTAAAATTGATTTATTTTTAAAAACATATATGATTGATAATCAAATTTATTGAAAATAAAGATTTTTTTGGAAATTAGTATTATTAGAATTATAAATAAAATATTGATAATCATTTTTTTTATCTTCTTTTAAATAATTAAGCACGGTCGCCGTTTGTTTGAAATGGCGATAATAATATTGTTACTGTTTGAAATAATGAATGTCAGTATAATAACTAAATTTAAATAATAATAATAACAACAATAACAACAACAATAATAAATATAATAATAATAATATAAAATAAACAAAGAAAAATAGATTTTGAAACTGCATGGCAACTGAAAAATTATTGCGTCCAGAGTCCGGACGCAACTCTGCATCCGTCCAGACAGCCGGCGATTCATCTTCGCCGGAAAGAAAAAAATTCCATGACAAAGTAAGTCGCGCCCGTTGTCCGAACGCAACCTGCATCCGGACTCCGGACGCAATAATTTCTCACAAGGATGAGGCCAAACCAAGCCTTAATAAGCTAAGTTTTAATAATTCTAATTAAGTTATTTAATAAGAATTATGTTGAAAGATAAACATCAGTTTATTATTTAAGTATTAACTTTAAGTGCATTTGAAATCAACAATCAAATGATGAAGGTTTTTTTGGATTGGAGTGAGGGTTTGATGACTATGGAGGAGGTAAAGTTAGACTTCTTATTTATATAGTTTATTTTAATTAAAAAGTTATAAAATTAATATTAATATTATGAATCAACAATCTTAAATTAAGGAAATTTTTATGCAAAATTGGAATAATGATTGTGTATTTAGGAGTTTTCAAATAGGGGAAAGTAGCAATTAAAAATATGTTTATGATTTAATCAATAGTTATAAGTAAATGTTTAAATTGATGCATACTTCAAAAATATTTTAGATCTTAAATTGAATGAAAAGAATAAATTGTAGAAAATCAACAAGGTGATTAAGTGAAGAAATACACACATAAAGAGATTTCCTAAATGTCAATTTGAGTAATCACATCTTTAAATTTCAGTAAGTTTCTTTATTTCAAAATATATATTTGACTGCATGTATGTTCAAGCTCAATTAAATTTAAATTATAATAGATTCTTCATATTGTTAGATAGAAAAATACGCATAATAAAAAATACATATAAGATATACATGAAAGGTATGCATGAGATGCATGATATGTGTGATATATATGATATGCAAGATAAGCATGATAGGAAAGATGCATATGATAAATAGTTGCACATTAGAGTAAGCATGTATGTTATTAGAAGAATGAAGATATTATGAAGAATGAAATAAATTATTTACAAATGCTTGATGTGCATTTTAAGAGGAGTTCATCCCCTAATAGTATAGGCAGGGGACGCCAGTATACCCGCACGTGCGTAGTTTTTTACCACCTCAAACAATTGTGATGTGATCACTAACCGTTGTGCCGACGGGATAATATCAGTCAGGGGCAGTTAAGGGTCTTTCCACCTCAGACAATTGAGATATTTAAATCAATAATCGCTATTCCGACAGAATAATATCAACCAAGGCTATGTTAAGTTGTTTTGACGGTGATCCTCAAACAGACAGATGTATATGTTAAGAATATAAAATAAACGTAAATTTAAGATTAAAACTTAAAGAGTGAAGTTAAAGTAAATGTATAAAGAAGTTTTAGATTATTCTCATTGAGTAATATCATGGACACGTACATTATATTATTATAAAATCTCATATAGTGATATATGAAAGACCAGCATGCAAATTTTTTTCTTCTCCTTAGGTTATTGAAGTTTAGAAATGTGTTTGCTCATGGGTTATCTTTAAATAACTCATTATGCTATTTTAACATTTTCAAAGACCTTTTTTAAATAACATAAATGAAGAGAAGCTAATGTGTACAAGATGAAAGAACGACAAACAGAAGTATAACTTTTTATTTAGTCAGCTTAGTTGTTTCCTTTAGTGACTCTTTCAATTAAATTTTGAATATCAAGTTGTTAGTGATAGAAATAGGAAAACATAAACTTAATTTCTACTGTCCGACTGTATGTTACTGTCTTGATTAATTCTAAGCCCCGGGCCAGATCGTGACATTCAATTCTGTCATTAAAAAAAAAGACGGTTTGATTTAATTAAATTATCAATTGGTCGATTTCTAAATTACATCTAATGCAGGCAATTTGACTGAAAGAAGAGAGAGAGAGCAGAAAATTTTGATACCATACCATGGTCTCCTCCCATTTTCAGTCCAAAAAGAGCCTCGAAGCTCTGCAAAAAAGGCAAAATCAAACTATACACACCAAATATTTGGGTCCCTAGTCCTTCAGATAGTTACATCAAGCACTACTGTAATCTTTATAGAAATGGTTGTAAAAAATATAATGGCTATCTATAAAGATATATTCAAGTGGAATTAAATTCTAAAAGAGTCCCCCAATTGCTGGGATGTGATCAATCTAGTCCTAGAGTTTTAAAGTGCTCCAATTTAATCCCGTGGCGACTGAAAATTGATCCAAAGTTATCCCTTGTGTAGAAATCATGACAAAATTAATCTCAATTTAGTCCGTTAACAAAGCAAAATTAATGTTAATTTAATCCCCAAGCAGCCACTTGGCATTAATTTTCAATAATTTAGCCACATCCCAAAAGTCAGAACCATTTTTTAATTTAACCCTATCCAAATGTGAAGTGCATGGGACATTTGAAATGCATATATTGTTTAAAACTAATATCATGAATATCAAAATTTTGAGATTTTATTATCAAATCAAATTACTATCACTTGACAAGAAAGATCCAGAACTTTTAGCTTAGAAAATTTCTGACCTTTTTTTTGTGCATGAATCAGGCAATGCACAAGACGGTTTGCCATTCTGATCATCGACTGCTGCAAAATAAACTAAACATAGCCAAAGAAAGATGCTTACAAAGGTTCAGGGTAATGGGACAATGCAATTCAATCATGGAACAAACAAAGTTTCGAGTAGAAGTTACAGGATTTCCATTCCACTGCCAAAACAATGTATGCTCATCTTGGAATATAATTCCAATTTCCATACATAGATGATGCCACTGACAAGGAAAGAAAGCTCATTTGCCTTTGTAGAAATTAGAGTTACATCGCAGTTTATTAGATAGAGACCAACTCTACTAGAATAAATCAAATTCCACATCCTCCTTACTAAAACTCAGGCACTTGCCTTCCTTTCTCTTGTTCCGAGCCAATGATGAACTCAAATCAAATCTTCCTGGAATCTCCGGAGGAGCCGCACATCGTATCAAAGCCCAATTGAGACCCTCGAAAAATGGGTGCCCCTTGATCTCAGCTGCTCCCTTCACTGAACCGAGTCTATTGTCCGGATCCTTCACCAGTAGCCGTTTGATCAAGTCCTTCGCATTTAAGCTGATAGTTGGAGTCTCTGGAAACTTCAAGTTCTTATACACCACATTGGCCAGAGTCTCTTCATTCCCAGATCCCTTGAAGGGCGTCATACCATAGAGCAACTCAAACAAAAATATTCCAAATGTCCACCAATCTACAGCACTTCCATGTCCATCGCCTGTAATGATTTCAGGGGACAGGTATTCATGTGTGCCAACAAAGGAGTTCGACCGTGCATCCGTTGGCTCAGCGACAAGCTGCAGAAGAGTGGCGATCTGTTTACTTGCACCAGAGCTTATGTTCCGCAACTTTGCCTTGGAGGAAGATATTAGACGAGGGGTGAAACACGAAATTTGAGGCCAAGATGGACGAAGGCAGTTGGGACTTATGCAGCTGGACTCAGCACAAGGACCTGACATCCTTCCAGCTTCCTTCCCCGCCAATGAAGAGGACCTGAGGAGGATTGGATTTACATTACATCTGAGTGAAAGATCAAAGTCTGAGAGCATAATGTGACCATCCTCTCTAACCAAGATGTTCTCCGGTTTAAGATCTCGATAAATCACACCAAGCATGTGAAGATATTCCAGAGCAAGGAGGACCTCTGCAACATAAAACCTATAGATGTAATTGGTTAACCGGGTAACACAGAGCAACAAAGTAGGTTTGTGCCTATGCAGTCGTGCATAATTATCTATTTCAGAAAATTTTTTTTGATAAATTTCCTCTAATGGACGCTGCAGAACTCTCAGTATGGTGTAAATTACTGAAGTTCTTGAATGGGAATTCATGACTTTAAACATTACAGGCAAATCTCCCATTCGAAATGAACTGCTACCAAGCGATCATAATAAGCAACATGCTCTATTAAATTAAGGTTAAACTAGCAATTCAACATTTTCTACAACCTTTACTAACAATTTTCAAATCCACTAAATATTAAGATTGATATAACCTTACATTACAGGCAAATCTCCCATTCAAAATGAACTGCAACCAAGCGATCATAATAAGCAACATGCTATAGTAAATTAAGGTCAAACTTGCAATTCAACATTTTCTACAGCTTTTACTAACAATTTGCACATCCACTAAATATTAACATTGATATAGCCCTTCCCTTTTAAAGTTTGTAACAATCCAAACTCTCATCCATCGAGATATCGTCCACTTTGGCCTAATTTCCCTACAGTTTTTATCCAATTGGTGTAACTTTCTAGGAGTACTATGGCACAAGCATGCTTAACTTTGAAATTTCTGATGAAATTTCAACCGCTACACCAAAAGACACCTTGATATTTAAGAGTACAGCTTCATTCTACTTGGGAGATTTCACAATTTACCCCACTCAAGTAACTGACATCTTCTTCAATTTTTTTTACAAAAAATCAACAAAAAAACTATGATTTTAAAGGAGGCCCCACCAGGTTCAAGAGGTGGTTTCACCATGTAGCATTTTGTCTCATCGAGGATTCAAAAGGTGGTTCCCATCATTAGCATTTTTTTATGTATGATACTGAGTTCCAATCTTCATACTGATGTAATGCACTGATACCATTTGTAATAATTCAAACTCTCATCCATTGAGATATTGTCCAATCTAGCCTAATGGCCTCACAGTTCTGTCTCATTAGTATAACTTCCCAACACGTCACCAATCCTAGAAGTGCTTCGAGACGAGCAAGCTTAACTTTCAAGTTTTTGATGAAATTCTAACTGTTAAACCAAAAGGCGCATCGATGTTTAAGAATTCGGCATTCAACTTGAGAGTTTCAAAAAAGTAACCAAAAGTTCTAAAATATTTTCTCTATTCTGAAATCTGAATGTTTCCCTATGACCATATTATTTTCTATGGGTGGTATCTCAAATTTTCCATCATAAGAACAAAAGCCCAAATTTCCATGGGTGGTATCTCCGATTTTTGCTCTAGAGAGTTTTCTAGTTGCATTTGACATCATCAACCTGGCCATTATGTCTTAAACATAATCTCTGATATCAATTGATGCAAAATGCTAATGAAATAAATGAAAAAGAAGAGATCAGAAATATGATATTGATTCAACTGCAAAAAGTTATTCCGATAAAAGTAATATAAAATGATTAAAAAAAGACAACTCATACTAATCGGGAGTATTAATGAATAAATTAGCTACCAAGTAAACAGCTTCTAAGATAGCCAAAATGGATGCAAATGAGCAAATTGAGTGGAGCAGCATCACTCTCATCCTTGCAAACTTGAGTCATGTGATTGATTTCGACAATAACTTACATGTACTGCATGTTTGATAAGATTTATGAGGATGATTCATGAAGCTCATCATAAAAAGTGGAATAGAAGCACATTTCAGCCTTATAATAACACCATGCAGCTTGAAACTTGTTCTACGCACTCACATAGTAATATCAACTTTCAACATTGAAAAAAATAAATCATTTAAATAAACATGTCTTGAAATTCATCTGGTAACATCCCCATGCAAAAAAAACCTAACAGAAGTTTACCTTGTAAGAATTTAGGGGGACTAAAAAAGAATTCAAGTTACCATAAGCTAAAGGAAATTATATTATAGTTAATTTTGCTGAAACACAATAAGCTATATAGTAGCATACCTAGCTTCTGGTTCTGAGAACCTCCTATCATGTTGTCTTTGTCGAAGGACATGCAGGTCACCACCGGGACAATACTCCATAACTAAACATAAGAGGTTGTCTGTTGTAAAATTTGAAAATAATGTTGGAAGAAATGGATGATCAAGCATTTGTAGAATATCTCTTTCAGTTTGTGCACGCAAGATCTTCTTTCTACCGATCAAGGATTCAGTATCCATCACTTTAAGGGCAAAAAAGCATCCGGATTCAATTAGCTCAGCAAGATAGACAGTTCCAATGTCTCCACATCCAAGCTTTTTTATTAGTTTGAAGTTCCTTATATCCAAGCCTCCATGTTGATTCAAAACATGGTGTATAGCTGTCCATCTTACATCCTTAGACATGTGAGGACGAGCCACACTAGAGCCACTATTGTTGCTCTCATCACTATTACTTGTACTGCTGCTGTTTTCACCAAGGCTACTTATTGAGCATTGTGACCAATTTCCCTTCTCTTTTGACCTTGAGTATTTGGTCAGTTTAGCAGCAGTGGCACTTTTGAAGCTAAAACTAGTTGGACTGCAATGATTCTCACAGGCTACATTGTCCTGGTTTCTGGCTCCAACTGTAACAGCCTGCTTCACAGTACCTGATGATGCAGAAATAGGCTTCACACACCTATTAGAATTTGCAGATGGCTGCACTGTTTCCTGCATACCCTTCTTAGAGAGAAAATTGTTTCCGACTGTTGTTTTGGTTATTTGAGGACTTATGATGCTAGGCACATTCAGCGCACTTCCTTCATCAAGATCAGACAAGCAAGCTTTGTTGTATGCTTTTCTTGCTATATCTGTATCTGATGTCCCAGACGAGCGACCCCAGTTTTTTGGTGTTGATGCAGCACTATGTGGAGCAGAAACCGCTTTTGAGAGAGAAGCTATGACATGCCGGATTCTTTTTTTAGTTAAATTTTCGTTTAAAGCAGCTTTACTTGGAGAAGAAATAGATTCCATACGAGAAATCTCTACATGACATGTACCGCAAACCTGAGTTCCTTCATGAGACAAATTTAGAAAAGTACTTCTAGGAGCAATAGATACATCAGATAAATTCCTTTTCCGTTCACCAACAGAAAGACCACATTCATTCTCCTCCGCAACCATTGATGTATACAACTTTTTAATTGTGGAAGCATCGGAGACACCAGATAAGCTGATTGGTTTTGACCACCTCTTCATTGCAGCCTGTTCTGATGCCTGCGTAATGCATAATCTTCTTAAAGCTTGTTTCATTGTTACAGATTCAGAAATTGCTATTCCTGATGCTTGTGATGCACTAACTCGAATAGCTTCCCTAGATATTTCCCTGTTCCGTATTTCTCCGAGAACCTGACGTGAAAAGCTCAGCAGCTTGGGTGATAATCGAAGATCAATTGATTCAATGACCTGATTAAGGTCATCCTGAGAATGTAAAGCATGAGAATTATTTTCTCCTTCTCTTAGCTTAATTCGCGGTAGCTTTGGCCTATTAGGATGATTCCAAAAGTTGAACTCCTCCCCAGATTCAATGATCTCAGAAGTACCGCCAGAGAAACCCATTTGGATTCCAATAAATATCAATGCTAGAACATAGCAATAACTAACTATCTTATAAAAGGATCTGGCGTATGTAAATAACCATAGACAACCAAACCAGAACTTTAGAGACAACCACCTCTAAGCGTTCTAATTCCAAGATTCAATGTCATTAATGGGTAATGCTACTCGTCCAAACGAACAAGAACAAGCAAATCTGGCCAAAAAAATTAATTAGTTAATGAAAAAAGCACGAAGAATTGAGGCCACTTTTACAACGCCGCCCCCTCCCCCGGGAAAAGGAAAAACAAAAGACAACAAGAACAACAACATTATTGAACTTCGAATAGTTTCATGCTACCACACAAACACCAGAAATGCCAAAATTAGGATAGTAAACTGTTCAAATGAAAGGAGGGTATCAAATTGGGCATTACATCTTAAGATTGCAGCTTATGTCAATTAACAAAGCTAAAGCATTAAAACTACACAAAATAAATTAAGTTAAAGGTTCTAGTAAAACCTACCTGCCATACGTATTTGTTAGAAGCTATATTAGAAAATAATTTATTATAGTGAGAAGTTATAAGGAATAAATTATTTCCTTGAATTGGATTTATTTTCTTTCTTATTTTATGTTGTTTCCTTATCTCCAAAACAATTTATATGAATTCATTAATTAGAGATATTAGGAGTTATTTCTTTCCTTTCTGTTTTTTTTTTTTGTATTTCCTATTTTAGGATTCATATAAGGGTTATTTATAACTCATTTTCATATCAATGAAAAGATTCTGTATTATTCTAAATTTCAACATAGTATCAAAGCCTAATTTTGTACCCTAGCCACTAGTCCTCCTTCCAGAACCGTCAGACTCCCTTCTTGCCGTCCTCTATGCGAGAAGGAAGGCCCTTCCCAAGCCGGGAGCTTCAACTCTACCGGCCTCCAAAAAGCAAGCGACAGTTTCCCAACAGTTTTTCTCCCTACTGTCTTTCCTCCCATAGAGATCTGTTCCGTGGAGAATTTTCAGCTGTTGGCTGCCCAACATTCTTTTTTTCCATAAAGAGCTATTGCATATCTACCGTGTAGATCTATGTTCGTCGGTTCCCCTCTTCTCTACAGGGTTTCTAAGAGTTTCTATCGTCGATCCTTCCGGCAAGTAGTTCCAACTGCCGGACCAGACCTCCCTCTACTGAAGAGTCGATTCTTCGATTCCAATCTTGAGCCTTCTTGCCACGAGACTAGAGAACATCTTGAGTAACGACGTCCTTGAGATCCTCGTCTAGGGTATAGTCCCAATGGTGAGGCTTCAATTTTCATTTAAAAATGAGATTGTATATTCTGACTGGATTAAATCAGAGGAAAATATTTGAGGCTTCTAATCCATGTGTCAAAACTCTAATCCTCTTATAGATATAGCATTGGTGTTTCTTGTTTGGATGCATTAAATCTTAGGAGAGGTAATTAAGTAGTAATACATGCAACGAAGCTCTCATCTAATTAAGACTAATCCTCTTCTGAAAAATGGGGTTTATTGTTCTCATTACTCTTAGACTGATTAAATGTAACAGATTTGATGCATGCTAAACATATCATGGTGGTAGAGTAATAGATTATCATCTTAGCGTTGAACAAGAATTCAGCACATACTCAGATAAAAACAAACAACAAGTAGAAATACCAAAAATTTTTATGTGGAAAACTCGGAAAGGGACAAACCAAGAGATTTAGCCCAATTGCAGAAATTCACTATAAATTTGTGATTACAGTTACAACCTATTGTCCCACAAGTAGGAAAATGTTGCATAGTTTCTTTAGTTACAATGACATTGCACGGATGAACTTGTTGTAAGAAGTGAGCGGCGATCGATGATGATCAACAACAGTCTGTAAAAGGTGGCCGACAGCGGTCGATGACTAGTAGTCGGTGAAGGTCGTCGACGAGGTAATGTTGGACTTCAGTTCCTTCTTTAAGCTTCAAGCTCTTCTCAGGTTTCAAACTCTTCTCTCTCCACATTTATAGTCCCGATTGCAATTAATAAAAGAATATAAACCACTATGATCAAACGGTCAGGAGAGGTTCTTTTGATCAGATGACATTTGATGGAAATTTGAGGGCCTTAATGATGTTGGAAATGAGCGATCTTGGGCTCATTGAAATTATCTCGTCGAGACGCTCGATTCAAGTATAAGCTTACCAGATTCTGCATTTGTTTTACTTTCCAAATATGCTCAGAAAGCTTCAAAGAGTGGTTTAATGACTTGATTTGAGCTTTGATTTGACTTGAATTGAACCAAGTTTGGTATCATTGGGTCAGTGTCATTGAGCCAGTCAGTTTGACTATAAGTTTACTAAAATCGAAGCTCTAGATGACTTAAAGTTTGACCATTTTTTACCTAAAATATTGCCTCGAGCTCTGTGTCAGTTGATGAAAATTTGTTGGTGTATCAAGATTAGATTTGAAGAGAGATATCTGAGATTTATAATCCCTTAAGAAAAAACTGCAATTCCCTTCAAAAATGAGTTTGAATATCCTAATTTGTAAAAATATTTTTTAGGAGAAATACAGATCTCAATATAAGTACTTCAGATATACTTAATGAGGTGTACATAGGTGATTGATAGTTGTTGATTATCAATGTTGAAGAGAAATGAGAAGTCAGAAGGTTGTTCCTGATCTCAAAGTCCAAATTAGGACGATCATCTATAGTTAGGAAAATAAAATGGGATTAATTTTGTATCATAATAAAATAGACCCTTTTAAATTAATTTAGTAAAGTTAATAAATTAAATTATAGGAGTATGATACTTTGGAATGAAATAAACCACATACAAATAACTAAGGGACTATTTTGGAACTCAATATGTTTATCTAAAGATACTCTAACTATTATTAGTGAGCATTTATAATTTCGTTGGTCTTAATATGAGTTGTAAAATGATAAATGAAATCAGTGAGGGAGAGAATGCCATGCATTAATGAAGAGTAGAATGGGCAAGGATGAAGGCTATTGTGGGAGAGAAAAATGTCGTGCATTAATTAACTCCGAATGTTTGGCAAAATTTTGAAAATAATATTTGAAAATATTCCTTAAGGAACACTATTTCATTCTAGCAATCCTATAAAGGTGTGAGGAATCTCTGAAGATTCTTTGATTGGTGATAAAATATTTCATAAATAAAATAGTAAGTTCAACAAACATATAGTGACCCAATAAAAAAGAAAGTAGAACTAAATGTGTGTCTAGTGTGGTAAAAAAATGAGGCACAAAAGTGCATCATAGGCTCATTGGACAATGCATGTTAATCCCATCACAAAGAACGTGTTTGGAAAGGTCATAAGTGTCACGACCTGACTCGGGGCTTCGAATTAACCAAGACGGGAACAGACGGTCGGACAATGGGAATTAAATTTTTTATATTCATTCTCTATAAATAATATTTTATAAATGAATGAGTCACTTAAATTAAAACAGTATATTTAAATTTACCAACTTACTCGATGTACGCGTCTTCTATAATTGTTTTCCCTTCTATCACTCATCTTTTAATCACTTAAAATTACCTATAAAGTTAGTTTAAAAATTACAGTGAACTAAACAAGTCAGTGAATACTCATACCCCTCAACTACAGTAATATGAAAAAAAGAATACAATATGCATGCTAGTTAAACTTTTTAACAAATCTATATAAATATTTGGAGTTATTTAATAAGTCTTACTATATCAATAACATATCAATATCATTTCATATTTATACATTTGTCACAGAAGTATCATTTAAAAATTATTTTAATTAAGACACATCAATATCAATATCATTTTTCATATACATGCACAAGTACTTTAGTTTTCTCCTACTAATACTATCAAGGGGAGACATCATCATAGTCAGTAGTGCACATCTAAACAGTCAACATAAACATATCATTCATGTAATCATCGCATTCAATTCAGCATACTACATAAAACATATACCAAATGCATAAAAGTAACTACAACATTCATAACAATAGAAACGATGAAGAAAAAATATCTCAATCAAGATAAAACATGTTTAAGTGTCATTAACCGCAAAATAGTTGAGAAGAAACAAATTATTACTATGGAATAAAAGTACGAGTACTCACTTCGATGTCGATTAATTTTTGTTTAAATTTGTCTTAACCTCAAGCCTTTTAGTATTTAAGCCTACAATAAACATGAGTATCAATTTATTATTTAAAATATTTACCTTATATTATTTAAGTGTTAAATTTGCATTCTTAAACCTTATGTAATTCTAATCATACATATATATATATATATAT